AAGTCCGACAGAAAATGTAAAAACGAAAAATAAACAGATAAATTCTGGGAAGAGATTACAGGGAGGAGAAAATAAATTCAAAAAAGGAAAAATCAAATGTAAAAGAAAATCAAAAAGATTAATAGCAAAATAAAGAAAAAATAAAAATGGGGAGGGTAAGGAATTGAAAAGGAAAAAAATCAAAAATTTACCAAACAGTCAAAAAGGAAACATAAGAAAAACGGAAAAAATAAATCAAAACTTAACGGAATATCAGCAATGAACTGTCCAAAAGATTCTCAGCCAGACAAAATGGTCTAACAAGATCAGAGCTTTATTCTGCTTAGAATAATTGATACCAGCATAGTGACTATTTATAGTCCTCTACAAATGAATGATTTTTCCAAAGGGAGGTAATCATAAAAAAAGGGAGATTATCCCGATTACTTTATCACAGAGAGCAATGCTCACAAATAATAACATTCTTATTTAAAAAGAAATTAAAAAAGCATATACAACACCAGCTAGTGTTTAAATAAAAGCATGTTAAACGTAAACTTTTACAATTGCTCCATCTTTTAAAATGCAATTTTTATCCATTTTACAAATTTAGTATTTGCATTTTTGAAAAATCTTTAACAAATGCAATTTTAATAATTAGAAAAAAATAATTTAATCTGAACTGATACCCAAAGGAAACTATTTTTTTTTTTTAAGAGTATCATATTATTTTAAATTGTTATACACTCTTTAGTGAATAGATATAGATTGTTGCCTCCTATTAAGCTAAAAACAAAATAATTTTGATGTTGGATATTAAAATCTGTAAAATACCTGTCATTAGAAAATCAGGCCAGTTTTAATAGAAAAAATAATCAGGCTTGTTACAATATTTAATGAATGTTTCAGACATTGAAAAAATGTAATTTTAGTAAAGATTTTTAAAAATCTACTTAAGAAAACATTTATTTGTACCTTTATAATGCATACACAATAGATAGAGAAAAGCTCTGTCAAACCAAAACATTTAATGTATAATCATTTGGTTAGATTTTGAGAAATGCATTATGTGGAGAAGTTTTCAACTCCCCCAACTACACTTGTATGATAGTTAATGAGCACACCTATTTTGTAGCAACATGTCGGACTGCAATAGACGTCTCTTTGCCTCCGCCCGTAACGAGTGTAAGCGTGTCCTCAATGATGCTAAGTCACTATTTGCTGCTCGGATGAAGGAGTGTATTGCATCATTGAACAATTGCAAACCCTCTACACCTCCTTTGTTCAACCAGTTTGAAGTCCTGACTTCCTCTGCCGACAAGGCTGAATGCTTTGCTCGGAAATTTTCATTCAACTCAATGCTCAACTCTTCCAGTGTACCCATACCCGACTTCCCTCTTAGAACTGAGGCCCTATTGAGTAGGTTACACATAACCCCGTCTTTGGTATTGGGCATTATCTCCAATTTTGACCCCAACAAGGCAAGTGGTGGGGATGGGATACCAGCCATTGTCTTGAAGAAATGCGCACCTGAACTGGCGCCCGCCCTCTCTAAACTATATAACTACTGCCTCAAGGAATCTTGTTTTCCTGACTGCTGGAAGTCCTCTTCAATTGTTCCTGTCTTCAAGAACTCTGGCAACCCCTCTGACCCTTCTAATTACCGTCCTATCAGTCTCCTACCCCTCTTCGGCAAAGTTTTCGAAGCCCTAATCAATACCGAAGTGGTTAACCACCTTACATCCCATGATCTGCTCTCAGACAAGTAATATGGCTTCTGCTTTGCACGATCTACAGCTGATGTGCTTACAGCCATCACTGAAACTATCTACCAAGCACTTCAAAATAACAGGGAAGCTCATGCCGTGGCCCTAGACATCTCCAAAGCATTTGATAGGGTTTGGCATGCTGGCCTTCTTCACAAGCTCCAGGGTTATGGCATTACGGGTCGATTGTTTGTTTGACCTAATACAATCATTCCTGTCAAACCGTGAATTAAAGGTTGTTCTCAACGGATTCTCCTCCAGTTCCTATCCCACGAACGCAGGTGTTCCTCAAGGCTCCATCCTAGGCCCCACTCTATTCCTTATCTACATAAATGACCTTCCTGACGCCATAAATTCCCAAGTTGGCATCTACGTGGATGACACCACAATTTACTCCTGCCTCAAAAACAAATTAAGTGTCGCTGACAAAACTAACCTGGCCATGTGTCTCAAAAAGTACCTCCAATCGGTTGTGATCTGGGGCAGGAATTGGCTGGTCAACTTAATCTACAAATCAACAATTCACCCTTGCATGGAGTATTGCTGCCATATATGGTCTGGAGCCCCTTCTGTTTGCCTTGGGGTTCTTGGTAAGCTCCAGAGGTGGATATGCAATATAATTGGCCCTGTTCTGGCATCTCGTCTACAGTCGCTCTCTCACGCTGTCGCCTCTCTCTCTTTTTTTTACAAATACTTTCATGGTAAGTGGTCTGAGGAGCTGCATCCGCTGGTTCCCAGACTTCATGAATTCAAGCGCCCTACGAGACTGGCATCCCGCTCTCACCCTTTCACTGTCAAAACTACTAAATGTAGCCGTCTCTTCTACTCCAATAGCTTCATGTCTCGCACCTCTTGCCTGTGGAACTCCCTTCCCTATTCCAGTTTCCCTGAGAGCTATAATCTCCAACTATTCAAATGTAATATCAATCGATATCTCCAGTTGTCTTGATCTATCCACTATCCTTCTCCTCATCCCTTCCTCTATCTCTCCTATCTGATCTTGCTCCAAATCTTCTGTAACCCCTTGCATCCTAGTGGCTTCCCACCTTGCTTGCCAACTTACAGTCAGTCTTAATGTAACGTATAAAAAAAAAAAACTAACACAAGCAAACTTGACAATAATTTGAACAAGTTTGTGAAAGCTATACCACAGGCCTTTATTTTTATGGAAAGTCAAAACCAATGGGGAGATGTTCCATCATGAGGAGATCATATTAAACTCGATTGACATTAAATCCATTGGTTTCATGGGTTCAAAAGCTATTTGATGCCAACTTTCTTGGTAAACAAGAAAACAAAGTAATAAAACACAAAAAAAAAAAAAATAAAATAAATAAACAAAGAGAAAACTAAATTACTTCTAATCAATTGGTTCACCTATTAAAAACCCTTTGGCCCCCTCACCTGCAAATGCCTAACTACAGTATTTAAAACTAAAACACACCATTGGCATATTTTCCCCCCAAGCCAGAAAATGCAAGCTAACTGGATTAACAAAAGGGGAGGAAAAACAAAAACTGTTTCACTCATTAAACGGTCTTATTCATTCTTTAATCCAGGGGTCATTCCTTTTTAGCCATATACACCGGGATTCTTCTTCAGCTACATCAGAACTTTCTTTCAGGACTTTTTTTTTCTGCTCCCACGATTCCAATTTTCACCAAATTCCTTGCTCAATGAGTTGTCCCACAAAATCTCTGCACCCCATTTCTAGTGGATTGAAGTAGGTTTTCTAACCATTTTGTTGGCACCTTTCAACCAACTTCTGGCATTTCTCACGCTTTTTTTTTATTAGCAAGTGTGATATTCTCCTCCCATGCAACCAATAATTCCCAAATTATTAATTTCTTTGTACTGTTGGAATAAATTAATAGGTCTGGGTGAAGATGTTGTCTGCACTATATGACTTGGGAATTTCAATTGTTTTTTCAGGTCCATGATCTGCAACTAATCAGGTGCTGTTGAAAGCATATTTGGGATATTCTTTTCTGTTTTCGTTTTCTTTTCCCCAGCCTTAATAAAATGTATTAATGGCTCTCTATACCCTACTTTATACTTGCACAACCTGATGGCTATTGTGACAGTGTTTGCTATGGCTCTGAGGAACTGATTGTGGCACCAATGATACCAACCATCCCCTAAAGCCTTGAGGCAACTGTTTAATATGTGTTGCAAAGACCTTCTCCTTCCACACTGAGCACAGTTGGGTGTTTCATTCATTCTCCATAAAATTAGATTTGCTGGACTTGGGAGAACATTGTAGACTTATTTTATTAGGAACTGAATTCTACTGAAGTCAGCACACAAGTAATCTGACCAATTCATCTTACGCTGTTCAATTCCTTCTGATTTTGTCCATGCTCCTTGTTGGCAAAGCCTAAACATTCTACAATAACGATTTTCCTCAACACTTGCTTGGATTTCATTTTGTAATAACTGGTGCCTTTCTTTACCTTGGGCTTTATTGTATCATTTACTGGGAAAATAGCCCAACCCTGTTTTCCCTTTTGCAGTGATTCCTATTAAAGCTTTTTGTCTTATCTTCTCTTAAGCCATGGCTAATTCCTTACTGGTATTCCATTTTCTCTCTGTCCAAGTCTCTATTCCTGATACTAGAACTTTTAAGTGGTAGCTTTAGCATATTTGTGTTACTATATGGTGCAGCACTGCTTAAACTTTTAGGTAACCCAAACCATCTTCTCAAGCACATTGTTATTTTTCTCTCCAAGGTTTCCACCATAGTGAGCAGGACTTCATATAGCTGAAGCAGTCATAGTACTCTGGGTAATAATGAGTGTTGAAATACCCACACTTTAAATTGACCTGACAGACCTGATTTATCAATTTTTAATAAAGTTGTGTCTAGATCATCAATAACCTGGGGGATAGGGGTGGTATCTTTCAGATTACTATCAAATGTCTTGCCTAAGTTCTTGATTGGTTTCTCTGAGTATTGGGATATCTATTCCCGCAACAGTGTATCTATATTTGTTGGTGACCTGGCTTTTTTTTTTAATCACTAGAGGCCTTGATTTAGCTAGTTTGAATTTCATCCTATAAAAATAACATTAAGATAATTAAATGGAAATCAGTTTTACAAATGACTTACAAAAAGATTTATCTAAAGGTAAACAGCACACTTTTACACTGGTTTTTAGTCATTGTTTCAGGAAAGTTATTCCATTCTGATTTACCAGCATAAAATTGTGTTCAAAGAAAACTATGGTCAATGTGTCACTGAATAAGAAAACTTACCTTTAAAAGGTCCACCTTTAAAATTCATACTAATCTTTCCTTCCTGACTCAGATAACCAAATAATTCACCATATTCAGGATCACAAAACTATGGAAGACAAAAAATAGAAATCATATTCATTGTTAAGTTTTAATGTTGCAATTAATCAATAACCAATCATATAAGTTCATTATTTGTTTGTTCAATTGAATTTTATTGAGCAGAATTCATGAAAATTCTAAATGCATTACTTATTTTTAAATATTTTAATTAATTTAATAATAACTTATTAATTAACATTAATGAATGCTTTCTATTCAGAAATTAATCAAAATAATACTTACATTATTATACATAGATTTGCTCAGACTAATGTCTTCATTTTGGTTGTTACTAACATAACATTTCTACTACTGTACTTTTCAGCTACCTTCAAGTGTTTGCCGTACTTAGTAATTTGGGAATTTTGAACTGAACTCTGTTCAATCTACAATTGTGCATTGTTCTCATTCCACTGTTTGTGCTAGAGGATATCTAGCATCAGTTAATTCTATTGAATTAATTCTGGAATAGACAGTGAAATGAGAACAATTTACTGTAAAGTGATTAAAGGGTTTGGTTTGAAATTGACAGAAGATTACTAACAATAGAGATCTAAAGAAGATCAGAAAGTACAATGACTGAAAGGTTGTGATAATAAAAGCCAAGATGTAAATACTAGTCTCAGCAAATCAGTGTATAACAATAATTCTTCATCTCAAAAATCCAGACAAAACTTTACTTACATGTTTCATTGTATAATCAAAGACTTGATCAAATTTTTCCAAGAATTTTTTGTCTAAAGTCTCTTTGAATGCAAGGAGGAAAGCAATCATTGCTTCACAATGTGGCCACCAGAGTTTCATATTCCATTCTAGTTGTGTAGGTGAGAAGCCATCCACATCCAAAAAGTAAAAGAGCCCTCCATTTTCATTGTCCCAACCCTGGAAAAATGTAGCCTCCAAGAATATTTCAAGGGCTGTGTTTTTAAGAGTATTATCATTCTTTAATTCAGCATATCGCAATAGAAACCAACCTGCTTCAATTGTATGACCTTGACAAATACAAAATTGGGAACTCATTTTATTAACAAAGCATTTAATAAATAAAGAAGAAAAATATATTGATATTTAAAGTGAAACATTAAACTTTTAGAATTTGTCCTTAGATTTTGCTGAATATACAGAAAAATAATATTGCTGAGAAAACATTATTGTAGTGAATGTGTCTGTGTAGTATATGAAATTGGCCTGACCTTTAAGAATTTATTTTAACTTACAAGGTCAGGTCATTTGTTGTACATTGTTCTTTTTATAATGGGAGAATCCAAGTAGTGATTCTTCCAACTCTTTATGTTACATAGATCAATCATTCTCATTCCTTAGCATATGCCTAATGGTTTAGTCTCTGTTATGTTTATTTTATGTTTTTTTGCTTGCTCACCAATTTCTGCATCTCTATTTGTTCTGTTGTTTACTGCTGTAAGCATTTCCTCACTGCAAAATTGTTTATAATTGTTTAACACAACAAAGAATTACAAGGCACAAGCCGCAGCTTATGAGGCAACAAGTTGCAAAACCCCGAAGACTAAGAAAAGGTAAAGTTTAGAGAAACTGACATTTTTCAGTTTCATCTTCACACTGTGAAACCACATTGAAATGTTTTACAAAAATGTATACTGATATTTTTACTGAAATCATTCAGTTTCATTTTTATATCACTACTGAGTGACCATATTCAAAGAAACACTATTGAAAAAGACTTTCAGAGTTAATAAAATAAAATTTTATCAATATTTATATTTATAGAATTCTAAGAGAAAAAGATTGAACAAAAATATGTTAAAAATATTTAATTGACTAGTTTTATGAAATAAATATGAAATCTATTTGTTTAAAAAGAAAGGAAGAAGAAAAAAAGGAAATACAACATAATGTCTGAAATTTATTTGTTTCAGTTTTCAAAAAAAAATTTTGTGGTAAAATTAAGTTAACAACAAAATAGCGAGTAAAAATTAAAAAAGATATTTGCCAGGCTCGTCTTAATGTTAAATTTTATGAAGTCAGATTTTTTGTAAGGGTTTTTAAGTTACACCAATCACAAAGTTGTTGCAAACAAGAAAAACAAATGAAGATTTCTTTTTTATAGATAAGTATGTTTTTTATCTAGGGTATGAAGCTAACTTAGATATTAAGAATAATTAAAATAGTTCTTAATTTCACTTTTAAGATGTGTATATTTCCAGATATGCGAGTCTCTGTTTTTTACAAATAAAATTATGATAGAAATCTAGCGAATGCATGTAAAATTAGATATTCAAAAATAAAGTAAGTTTTAATCTCAGTTTTAAAATGTGTATATTTTCAAAACTGCAAGTCATTTTTTTTAAACCCAAAGTAAAAATTATTCTTTTTTAGCCACTAGTGTTCAGGTGTTTCAGTTTGTTACTGTTAGTGTTCTGTCTATAAAATTCTTTTAAACAAAGAAAATTAATTCATTTTTATTTCTACAAATATCTTTATGGTTTTAGCGAATACACTTATTTAAAATGCTTAAAATAGTTTTTAATTTCAGTTTTAAAATGTGTATCTAAAAAAGAACAGGTGATACATGCAGATTTGGAAATCTACAAGTTCTAAAAATGAAATTAAAAGCTTTTAATTATTTTTAATATTTAATTTTAATTGTATTTGCTAAATAAAAACAAATTTATTTAGGGAAAAAATAACTCATTGATTTTCCTTGTTTAGTAGAAATTTATTTGCAAAACCCCAATAACACAGTTGACTGGCATACCAGAATAAAATTGCTGTTTTTTTTTCTTTTTTTTTGCTTACTTTATAATATTTGAAAGAATTTGCTTCCTCAATCGCAAACGAAATCAGATATTGATTGGAAATGCTATCATTACACAAGAAAATGAATGGCTTCCTTAGAAAGCAAATATACTAAATTAAAAACTGAAAAACCAAATCGAAAACTGCAGCGGTATCAAGGAAAACAAAACCGGAAACTGATACTGAAACATAAATTGCCAAACCAAGCAACTCTAGTAAAGTTGTAATTTTTCCTTCTGTATAGCCCTGGTGACCTGTCTTGTAAGTCAAATTTATTTTTTTGTTTTGTGTTATCAGTGGTAATTTGAATATCACCACATATTGTAGTAAAGAAAATTGGTTCCAATGTTACTAACTGAAATTGGCCTGACCCTTTCTATTGTAATATAGGAAACTAGCCTAACTTTTTCTATTTTACTAAATGAACTGGCCTAACCATTTCTATTTTAGTAAATGAAATTAGCCAGGCCCATTCCAATGTTACTAAGTGAATTGGCCTTACCCTTTCTATTGTAATAAATGAAACGGGCCTGTAATTTTTTATACCCATGGTTTTAAATTGTAGAGAAATGAAAGAGAGTTTAAAGGGAAAAGCAAGGGAAGCAATATTATGCAAGCAATATTTAAGCAAGGGAAAATATTTTGGTAAAATTACTTCTTAGTTCTCACCCAACAGTGAGAATAAAAAATAGAAGCAAGTGACAGTCTTATTCTTTTATTAGGAAAATTTATATCATTATTTGCTATCACTTAGATAGATACACACACACACAAACAGACATATATATATATATAATATATATATATATATATATATAGTGAAGAGTGACTGACCAGAACTAAACGTTTCATGCATTCTCATGCAATCATCAGGTGGTTGGCAACAGTTATTTGGGAAAATGGGCAATTTACATGAGTATGTGTACACACCCACACACACACACACACACACACACACACACACACACACACACATATATATAGGACAGAGTCACAGATTTTATACCATACATATCCAGGAATTAAATTAATTACACATGTATTGCTAAATATCTGGCTTGAAGTTTTTCTAATTAAAATAAGGCCCAAGTCATCTAAGTCATCTGATTAGAATGGATTATTACTATAATCCATTCCAAAATAAATCTTTTAGGTCAAATGCCAAATTCATTGCATTCTGTAGGTTATCTTTTTCTTATGAAAACTTCAAAACAATATGGTACTGTTACAAAATCTTGGAAAATGTTGACAGAATCCAAATGTAAATGGAAATCACTGTGCTTCACACAGCTTAAGACTTTTGAAAATGCACAACAATATTTTAAAACAAAAATTAAAGGAAATACAATTGGTAATGACTTTGTTATTGTGGTGTCAGTGCAAGAATTAAAGCAGGGCATATACAACATTGGGAAATTCATTTTGTACTAACAAATAATGTGGTATGTACTTGCCCTTATTGTGGGAAAATATGTTAGAAATAGAAAGGTTTAAAGATACATATGCAGAAAACAAAGTGTGTTATAATTTTTCTGGACCCTCATTTGTCATTGACAGCATAAAAGTACATAATATTTTATTGCAAGAGCAAATTCTACATAAAAGCAAAACATGATTAACATTAAGTGGTTGACTTATATATATATGTGTGTGTGTGTGTGTGTAAGAATTTATTGTATTTCTTTTTATTTTGTTAATTATAATATCAAAGTATAGAGTCAGTTAATCTATGGTGTATACAGCTGAACAATTTGTTGTCAGTCCATGGATGGCTGGTGTTTAGAGAAAATCCAGGAAATAACTTCTTTTTTAAAGGTTTAGTTTTATATTTAAAATGTCATCATTGGTTCAAGAATATTCTTTCTTCAGGTATTATATAAATATATTATATCAACAATGTTTCTATAATCACCACTAGTCATAGATATGGATGCTCACTTTATTATTTATTATTATTATTGTTCTAACAATAATAATAACTGACACTTTTTAACAAGCATACTGCTAAGATTTTTGTTAAGTCTTTAAAATGTTCAGCTTACCTGGGTTCATTAGTCTTCCTTGGCAACCAGACAATTCTTTAAAGTCATAAGACACATTTTCCAAGACAACAGAATGGTTTCTCTGTCAATAAACAAGAACAATCAAATTATTTTTTTATGAAAATAAATGAATTTGTGAATGTTCTTGTATGCTTTTTAATATAATCATCATACTTATTATAAAACCCAGGTTGTGTGTGTGTGCCTGTTCGTTTATATATTGGATCGGATTTCCTACATTTTTCAACCGATTTCAACAAAACTTCACAGGACTACAAAAAAAATTACCTTGCGGTGATTCTGACAGTGTCAAAAATTGGAAAAACACAATTGTTTTTGCAAAAAATCAATTTGAAAACACGATTAACAGGCATCACTGTCGCGAGAATGGAAGGGGGACAACTCATATCGAGTTATACTTATTATAAAACCCAGGTTGTGTGTGTGTGTTCGTTTATATATGGGATTGGATTTCCTACATTTTTTAACCGATTTCAACAAAACTTCACTTTTTTTTAGCAGATAGTGTTTCTTATTGTCTTGCACACTTTTTTCTTTATTTTTACATTCAGAATGCTTTAAAAATTCCATTTACAAGACAAGTGTTTATAATAAAGTTCTATTCAATTGGTAGACTCATAACAATTGAAAACAATGTTTTTGTTTGAGTTTGGGTTTGACCAATTTGTAAAAAAAAAAAAAAAAAAAGAAAAAGAAAAAAAAGCTAATTAAGACATGCATGTCCGTCAATGTTAAACAATAATCTTTGTCAATTTTATTTTTCAGTCTTTATGATGGTCGATACTTGATCTATCTCTTACTGTTACATCTCTGGGCAACACCGGGCTCTACTGCTAGTGTTAAGATATACCCAATAAGATTTTTTGGCAAGAACTTCACAGAACAAAATGCACTGCTACAAAGTTTTCTATCTTGTTATTTGTTTTGTATATATAAATCTTGTCTTGAGATAATTTCTGCAACTGATTTTCACTTTTATCAATTTTAAAAAGGCATGTACTACATTTCCAATCTTTTAGGAATTTAAAAAAATATTCATATATCAAGTATCCTTCACTTAAAAAATCTCCATTATAGTGCAATAACTAATTCCAAGTATTTTCTCAATCAATTTCTCATTTATTTTTTTTTTTTGGAACTTCACCTTTTTAAGAAATTAAAGCTGGAACAAATGGTGGATGTGATGGAAAATTGACAAATCAACCCCTTTTATTTTTTATTCTAACAACCAAAGTTGATTTGCTTTTGAATAATATCATTTCTATTGATTCAAAGAGATATTGAGAGAACATTCAAAATCTGCTAAATCTTTTTAATCATTTATATTGCTTACATAAATATTTAATTTGTAAAATCTTAAATATTTAAATTATTTTGTATAGATTTAAATAGTTTAAATAAAATTCTTCTTTTCCAGAAATCAATTCCAATAATAATAATTACATACTTCATAAGTGATAAAATTAAATACATATGTCCGCACATATATTGATGAGCATACAGACACACAGATCACTTCTTTAGTGGCTGAGGTAATTATATAATATTTTTTTCATGAGCACTCCAAGTTGGTGTTCAAACCCAGGTAGAAAGCAGGACTTCAAGATTGAGGAGCCCTTCTCCATTTAGAAGATTTGTGCATCATAATCTTCATACACTTCCAACATTTGAACTTGTGCTGGGATCCCTCACCTGCTATATTTCTCTCTTCACACACAAATACAAACACATGTAGACAGATAGATAAAGAGACATTCTATATTTGAATGATTTTCAACAAAATATCGTTTTTGACACATGCAAAAATTTAGATAAATTAAAAATATTTAGTAAACAAATAAAATCAGCATTGCTATTGATCTTCTGTGTATGAGCATCTACCTTTATATTGTGCCATTAGAATTTCTTTTATTGGGTCTTTACTATTACTTATTTATTATTTCTGATCCACACTATTTTTGTAGTTATTTATATCTCTACTGCTTTCAGTGAGAACAAATATCTTATTTCCATAAAAATTTAAATAGGTCATTATATTCGCAGTTATATGCATGCAAGATCTATCAAACTAGTCTAAAATTATGTTGCACAAACATGCACATCAAACCACACTTGATGAAAAAGACCTTCAAATGATATTAAAAAAGTAAAGAGAAAGACAAAGTGAAAAATTGTTAAATGTTTAAGGGAAATAACACGTAAGTTATGTTAGAGTTATCTTTCTTGTTTTCAATTCGCGATTTCTATATCAACATCGATGGGAAATCATAAGGTGGAGTACTTGCATGCGCCCATGTGGGCAGTACTTTCCTTTATGGGACACCTCAGACACCAGGAAGGAACTCTCACTGACCCTTCCCCTTCAAGTGAATGGATAAGGAGCAGCCTAGGGAGTTATGCTTCTGGAAATGAACTTTGGTTACTTTGCTCTTCCAGTCACAGAAAAGCACTAGTTGATGACTGATAGTAATGACTGTTGGTTCAAATCAATGATTTTTGATTAGTACAACAAACCAAAATATCCCATATCTAAAATTTTTTAAAAGATTTTTCTACTATATGCATCTGTTAATTTGGGTTTGGGATATCATAATTATTTATGACAGAAAAATTACCTTTATGCAAGACAAAGTCAAAAAACTTACTGTCACTAACTATTAAAAACGTGTTCTGCACAATTTTGACAAGTATGACAACCACTGATGCCTGCAGCTTTCATTTAAAACTGAATAAAATCAGGCTTCAAAACTAATATATTAGAATAATTGTAATTGTGTATTTTACTAACATTTTAGCTGTCCGCTACCACTTTTTCACAAATGCCGATTTTCGTGCAAAGAGCGGATCACATCTTCATAAATGTTTCTGAAAACATAAACTTCTCATTGGATAATAAATATTAAATTTATCTCGTATATCTTCACGTGTATTGTTCTCAATAAGCGACACAAAACATATCAGGCTCCAGACTGAGTTTTGTAAGGCGCTTTCTGAGTGGTTAACAGATGTTAAAAAAAACAATTTACCTGCTCACCACTACGTCCGAACAACGTCAACCTAGTTTTTGACCTGACGAAAAAACAATGCCTTCGGAGCCAGTCACGTGGTTGAAAAAGCATATAAATTGAAGGTACGAGCGAACCCAGTCAGTGAGAACTTACGACCAGACCTTTGTTGGACTGTTTTCTGACTTCCGTTTGTTCCTCATATTGATTGCTTGTTGAACGTCTTTTTTGTTAAGTTTGTGTTTTTTATTTTATTTGATTTGTGTTCTTACGAATTTTTTTTTTTTTGAAAAGATTTTGATTTTTTATTCTTTTCCTTTTTACCCTCCTCTTTTAAAAAAAAAAAAAAAAAAAAAAAAAAATTATCTATGTTAATTTTGTTTATTCGTTTTATTTTAAATTTCCTTTCTGTCTTTTCCTTTTCTCTTATTTCTCCTTTAATTATATCTCCGTTTTTTTTTTTTGTTTTTTTCACCTTTTCTCCTCCCTTCTCTGTTAATACAAAAATATGGAAAAGAAGGAAAAAAAAAGCTCCTTCCTTTTTAGTCATAAAAAAAAACACAACAGCAGACTACAGAAAGTCTATAAGAAAACACTTATTTAACCCCCCAAAGAAAGACCCTCCAGATAAAGACAACATCAATGAATACCCAGCCCTAGATCAAATTTCCCCTAGCGAGGATGACATCGCTGGTAAAAAAGATTTACTTTCTTCAAGTATGGAGGCCTGCAATGGCAATAAGAAAAATGAAAAAAGTCAAAAAAGTACGGAGGCCAATAATAGCCATAAAACCCAATTTGACTCTCAAGAGAAGACTGAGGCCGGGGAATTGCCCTCTTGTTGGAAGTCCCCCCCCCCGAGTTGTATTATCAATGTAGCGGATTTCTTGGAGTGAGCTAAGAGCTACACTCACCTTGTCATAGAAGGTGGACTCTTAGAAGACGCCCAGGAACTAAGAAAAATTGAAACACGAATAGTGTCAGTTTTTGTCGTGGACAAGCGTACGCGCAGAATTTGTCGCTCGACAAAAGACACAGTGATAAAATCACTGGAGTCCTTGGGGTTCAAGCCCCTCAGAGTTGTGAAAGGAGTTGGCTTTCTCATGTGGGACGTATTGTTACCCACGCCGGAAGATTGCGTGGCAGCGTCGAGCAGGGACTTGATCACAAAAGATCTGATCCTGCGGACCGAGTACATAGGCCAAAGAAGGACCAGGGTTTCAATATACGAGGTCCCTCCTCAGGTTCTCGGGAACATCTCGCGGCCTACCTGTCTCAATTCGGTGAAATACTGGCCGCATCTTGCGATAGCCTGAGCGGGGGTGGAGTTTCGACATTCGTTTAGATCAAAAGCCTTCTTCTCCATCCCCAACTGTCTGGTAGTAGAAATTGAAATTGCCGGTCATTGTGACCGGCCGGAAACCGGTATGCTGGAAGTGTAGAAAGACTGGTCACCTTTCCTCTTCCTGCCCAGAGAAGAAGACCTCTGAATTCAATCTCCCGTTGACCAGAATCCCCTCTGACCGAGTCTTTACCTACCGCCTCGCCTGTAATGGGCATGCCAGCTTCTGGGACCGGTAGGGAAAATCCTCCGGTTGGTCAAAAGACCACATTCTCCAAAGAGCCTTCGCCCACTGCTAGTGCAGTTGTGGAGAAGGGGGAAGGGGAATGGCTGGTTGCTGGTAAGGCCAGAGGAAGCGCCAGACAGCGGGTCCTCAGTCCCCTGAAGCCCCAAGGACGAAAGGCACTAACAGCCCCACTCCCTCTGGCAACATTAAGGGCGATACTCCGGCCTCTGAAATATCTTTCAAGGACAAGCAAAAAAAGTACGACCCAGGATTTCTGAAAACCAAAAAAATTAAGGAGCTAAAAAAGAAATTAGATAATCAGCAATCCCAAAATCCAACTCCTTCCGCGTCTTCTAGCGCCAGTCCATCCCCTCTTAAGAAACGACCCTCTCCCAGATAACTCCATCCAATTCGCGTCCCCTCAGTCGAGATCCTAGCCCTTACAGACACAGATCTTTCTACACACCCTTAAACACCTACCCCTTCCC